TGACCGATTCCATGGTTACACAACTTCGAGCGTAATTCGTAGTCACCCTGAACAAGCGTCCCATGGGGCTCAAGGACCTGTCACATCACTTTTAAAATTCCTCGTCAATAGCAGCGCTTATGATGCTGTGCATTCTGTCCAACCTTCAACCAGGCCTGACCCGCCGAAATCTCTTACAATATTATCATTCTCGTGATTGTTGTTTTAGCAGAAATTACTTAAAAGCCGAGAAATCACAAGAACCCAAACCGGGATTTAGCTCGGATTCAGCGGAGCTGCTTATGACATTTTAGCGTTTCTAACTTAATATCGGCGTCTTTGAAGCTGTACGAGAATGATACAAATGTAAGAGATATGTCTGCAGCTCATCCAGGTTGAAGTTTGGACGGAATGCACAGTACTGACATTGGCGGGACATTTTAAAAGTGGTATGACAGGTACTTGGGTTCTATACGACACTTGCTCAGGGTGACTCCGAACTACGCTCAAAACTGTGTAACCATAGAATTGGGTGAAATTTTTGATCACTAGGCAGCTGAAGAAACACCGTCCCCATGATTCCTCGAGTACGGGCCGAGGCGCTTGGGGGATTTAGCAACTTGTCGATTCGGGCGTAATGTTAACACTTTGAAATAATTAAGCTACATTGAAATATTCGTGAAAATTAGCACAAATAATCTAAAAACTTAAGCTTGTCAAATCTGAAGTTTGAGATTATTCGTGCTAATATTTAGCTCGCGAACAATGAGACTTCACAGCTTGCTAACAAAGAAATTTTTTAACATTTTTTTTTAACTTTTTAATAAATTAAAAACCGGCCTCCAGATACAGCTGTATATACGCCAGATAAAGCTGTATATACGCCAGATAAGGCTGTATATAGGCCGTATATAATCATATAATATTTCATATGGCCAGATATGGCCGAGCATACGGGACGGCTTGCGGAGGGCGGAGAGTTGTCAGCTGTATTCTTTGCGGGCGTAAAAAAATGTGGTAGAAATCCTTGCTCAAGTTGAGCATGCCGAGCTACACTTGCTCTGTCAAAGGGTTCACATACGCATAGCCTGAAGGAGCTACCCCATTTTGAATTCCGTAGTGGGCAGTGCTGCGGTCTGCGCCGAGCAGTCGCGGATTAAGCGGGACTCTGAACTCGACTTGGGTACCGAAGTTATTCGGCGAAGGTAGAGGCCACAGACAGTATGCTCTATATTTTCGGCACAAACCATGTCTTGAACCGCTGCGTCATTAGCAAGGGGCTGTGATGAAGGGGGAGAACGAGCATTGGAGGAGGAGGGTTTCATCAGATAAAAGGGCTCGAATAGTCCGCTGCTGGGAAAAGTGGAAGGGCTAATTAAAATCGACCCTGTTTATTTTGCGGACACTGGGAGTAGCACGAAAGGAGGAGGGGTTCCGTTCTGACTGGGAGAGGAGGAGGCGGTGCCTCGGCCACACTCGTGACTCTCGGCGTCGCTGTCGTCGTTGTCATCGTTGTCGTCTTGGCTGGCCCGGTCGCCTGACTCAGAGAAGTGTAGGAACAGCTCAGTGTCCAATATCGCGGGAGTGGCGGACCCATATGGCTCGAGCCATTCCAATGTACGCTTGGTTGCGTCGTCGGCAGCGTAGCTTGCAGTTACGGGCTGTTCCTCCTCTGAGTCTGCAATTCACGAAGGAGGGTATCATAAGGTACGCTGCCTTCCTGGAGTGCAATCGCAAGGGCGTTGTGGATGGAAAAGGCGTCTTGGAAAGCGGCGTGTACTCAAACCCCGTACATGACGAGATGCTGCGTTTGAGTAGACCACAAGGAAAGATTCACACATTTGGGTGATTTGCCTTTCTGAGTTCAGGACTTGGGCGTAGTCCGCTCTCCTCAGTTTGGGGGCTGCCAGCTGCCCTAACCTTGAGGTTGGGACGGTGGCAAGGATATCTAGTCTGGCAGCTCACGTGCGACGTCAGCTTCAAGGCGTCCAGTCTGACAGCGAATGGCGTGCGCCAGTTGCGGCGAGCAACAACATAAAAGAGTTTGAGGCGCTCGAAGATAAGATGTTGGTGCTGTGGAAACATGCTGTCCAAGTAGAGTAGGTGCGGGTGAAGGTGCCTGATTTCGTGAATATTGCGTTGGATAGCCTCTTTGGGTGTTGGGGGAGCTCTGTTAGAATGGCGTAGGCCTGCCGGGGTTTTAAGCCGGGAATGATTGTTACGGGCTCAATCGCAGGACGTTGAACCGCGGCAGAGGTGGCGGCAGAGGGTCTAGCGGAGCAAGAATGGACCAGAAGTCCAGAGGGATCGATGGGCAGAGTTGCGGCCAGGGTGACGTTAATCGAGTCGGAAGTAGCATCCTGGACGTCGCGGCCGTCATGGCTGCCGTGGCCGCCAAGAAAACACTCTCGGGGATGCTCATGGACCAGTCTAGACGGCTGCTTACCAGGGTGGCTTGTGGTGAGGGCGTCAAGAGTCACGGTGAGGGGCTGTAGGGTTCCAGTGAGGCTGTCAGTGACTGATACGAAGACCACGTTAGACGTCGCCTTCGCGATGGCCGAGAGGTCGTCGGGGGCCAGGAGTGACGTGGAAACAGATGAAGCAGCCGAAAATTGTTTCTTTTTGTTGTTTTGTTTTTACGATTGTGTCGCCTGTCTGGCTTGGCCTAAAACAGAATCTAATGAAATCTTGCCTCGCTCATTTCGCAAAAATTTGTCTCATGAACATAACAAATCGACGACTTAGAGTTTAGTTTCTGACGATCGCCACTTTTACCTGAGCAAGCAGCAGACACAGCCTCGCTATTGAAAGGAAATAGTAGGAAGCCAGCTGGGCGAAGGGTGTGCTTTTCCATTGTAAGAGAGTCAGCCGGAGCTGCGGCATCCACCATGTCCTCGATAGATAGTTTTGCTACACGCCCGACCGCAATTTTGGACACATCAAAGCCCGCTTTCACGAGTAACACCGCCCGTCTAACATCGGCGCTAACCCCTGGCTCTCTACAACGGGGTGCTGAACTCCTTGCATCACCAGAAATTTGGCCTGCTCTTCTGAAAGCTGGGAACGCAGGGAGTCCTCACCAGGCGCTCGAGACTGGCCCGCAAGAAGTTAGCCGCCAAGACCACCGTCGCGAAGGATGCTGTAAGGCTTGACAATCTTCACTGTCTTCACCATACTATCATCACCGTCGTCATTCACACGATTCACTGCAACAATACCATTTCATCATCATTAAAAGCGGCGCCGCAGGCTTTCAATGCATGGGCGATTTGCCTTTCTGCGGCGTCGCGGCTATATTGAGCTAAAGTAAATATATCATGTCATAACAACTATGTCAATACTCTTTTTCGTTTTCATATACATTGGTATTAGTGTCCTCCGTCCACAGTTATTCCATATTTTCACCATTCGTTATTTTAATTATCATCAGTCTTTTCTCACAGCGCGAATGTCCAAATGTTTCCACGTCCTTCGATTATTGCTTATAGTGAGTGCTCTGGGTCACGACTGTTGTGCGACATTATAATTAGCTAAATAGTAGCCATCAAGATAAAGTATATGTATTTATCAGCCTTAAAACATTTTTAGTGCTTACCCTAACATTACTTCATGTGATTAAATGCTAACCTATGTTTCTCGGTTTGACTTTTCCTTGTTTATTATTTTCTTTCTTTGTTTTGTGGTCTTCGAGCCTTTTACAGATTATTAATAAAGGCTTTTAGATTACATTTATGAAGACCACTGGCTTAGGGGTAACGAACCAACCCACGTAAACATTTCGTTTTTACGCGGCTCTTAAGCTTGGTTGGCCCGATAAAGCCACCGCTTTAAAACACAGAGCTAGGACAAATAAGAGGCACGAAACAATTTTCCGTTTTTCTGGCGGCAGACGGGAGTGCTCGCCATTATTAGTGACCAAGAGTCGCTCATTGTTTGCTCTTGCCCGCTACAATGACGACACTTTGCTGAGTTTCAGGATATTAGGTCAAAGGGCACGTGGCGCGCGCTGTAATGTAACCAACAAGTTGATATTATTATCGTGTTTACAGCAGTACTGCTGAAGCAACAAACACCTAATAAAAATACAACTTTGAAGCACATGGCGAGTATTATTCCCTGAAAGCACCCTAATTTATTTTCCTAGGCTTAGAGGTGGAGACATTGTGTGGGAAGAAAAGCAATGAATACGAGCATATTAGAACTTAAATTTCGGCCTTTTACAATCTATTGACAACGAGTTGCTTCGGTCGCGCCCGCCGATATGTCATAGTTCTGACGTCACGACCGGTTATAAACGACAAGCTTGAATCTGTGTAATAATTAAAGCACAATGAATGCTACTGAAAACGCCATAGTGAGCACTTGGCTAATCCTTGAGAAAAGTATCAAAGCAGCCTACTCTGCAGTGCGCCTGTCGCAAATACACCTTTGGGGAAGATCCCTCAAGGCCTCTCGTCATTCCTACAATCCCTCGGCTTGGGGAATTCTGCGGCCGTTCCAATGTACGCTCGGGAAGGCACGCACGCTTCGTACAAATTGTAATTGGATAAATTCCTTCACTCGTACCACTGCGAGTTCAGAGCACGAAGAAGACAGAGAGAAGTCACCATAATATCGATACGTAACCTGCTTTGGTACCGGCCACTTTCTTGGCATTCTGAAGTCGCAAATTACTAAACCATCATGATTCGCTCCTTATCTTCGTGGCTACTCCTGCACGCGCTGTACATCGGATTGCGCACTGCAGCCGAAGGGCGTTGTTTGGCACTGTGTATTCTCGGAATGGTCTATCATGATACTTGCATAAGATGCCACTTTTGCGCGTAAAAACATATCTGATGTGGTGATGCGGATGAAATTTGAATATTTTTTTGTCAGCTAGACCCCAACATTGGTCTGGCGAATCTTAACTCTTTAAGCACGAGCTTAGACTGCGTTCCTCTGTTTTTGCATCTTTAATTTTCGGACCCATGGACCAACGGTTTCCTGTAGGGTCACCTAGAAAGCAGGCTTTGTGTTACCTTCAAAAGTTTGTCGTAGTCTCGGACTGTACTTCTCTTGGTCACAAGAGCCTCGCGTACTTGGAAGTTGAGCAGTCCGTAATGCCGGATGTGCTGGTTCCAGAAGTCACTAAATGTCCTTATACCAACGGCGTCGTAGAGGTCGTTGTAGGCTCGAAGGGCATTACTGAGAGAAATAACACAAATGCATACTTCACTTCACCAGTATTTAATTTAATTGACAATTTAAAAGCACCATTCTCATCTTACATTGTAAAGCTGCTACTCTCTTTTTGAAATATGTCACCGAAAAAAAGGCGGTAGCCCCAGAAAGATATCAGAAATACCCACTCTCATACAAAACAACTTTTTCACTTAATTACAAATTATTAAAAAAAAAAACAAAACACACCTTAGTTTTTATAAAACCTCAAACTAAAATATACTATTTTTACGCCTCTTTGATTCTCAAAAAGCTGCTTCATGCTCCAGAAAATCAAGAAGTAAAAAATGTACATAAATTCACCGTTCCCCATGAAGCGCAAGTTGCTCGTGCGTTAGGTATGTACAACATGAATATTTTATCCGCTTAAAGTCCATTACAAACAATTATATGCATGTTTTTTTTTTCTCAAACGGTTTAAAAGCGTGTGTCAAACCGCCGTTCACATCGACGTGGAGTCGGTTGGGGGAATGTGAGCCTTTGCAGACAAATTTAGTGGTTTCCACTCTTTACATCACAATAAACCAATTTAGCGATCTCTACTCTGGACTACGAGACGACGAACTATCGGTAAAAAGAAACTTAAATATCCCCCGCCAAAACAAAATTGTTTGTCCACCCGATCACCCCACCCCCTCACATCCTCCACTGGGGTGCCGGCGTCACAATGCCACATCACTGATGATGCATTCACAAGGGCGGTTGAGCTGCTTATGCGAAGCGGTTGCGAATGCGGTTCACGAGCAACCCCGTTCAGAGACACCAATATGCGGTTGGCGGTTTTCCGTCAATCTTTCGGGACTAGCGTTTGGCAACTTTGTTTTACAATCGAAAATCAATCTTAGTTAACGATCCCAAGCACAGCGGCTACATCACCAACAGGATGCCAAAAGCTGTCTTTTGTTTGATCCAGTTGCTGCTCCTCGGACCGCTAGTTGCGTGTGAACAGCTTTATGACCATGCCAGTTGCCTCGAGCCATGCCTTATCGGCGACACCGACGTTCCAACCAATGAGCCAAAGGGGGGACACCATAGTCACCGTATGCAGCCGATCCCTGTCCCGCAATCGTATTTCTTGAAGCGTGGTCGTCATCAACATCAATCATCGAGGCTATAAAAAGACGCGAGCGGCCAGTTTGCTTCAGTGGGCACCAGTCTTCTTGCACACGTTACTAAAAAAAGTAATCGATTACAATTACGATTACTGTTGACTAAAAAGTATTCGATTGGATTACTTTATTACTCGACAGCAAAAGTAATTGGACATTACTTTAAGAAGTAACCGTTAATTTTCCGATTACAATATTGTCTGAAGACTTACATCTTTAGCGCTCATAACAATGAACTACCTCCAACCTCGAAACCTTGCTTGTCACAAAGACCACGTAGGTGAAATACGGGATCTTGACGTGTATTTGAAATGGCCTTGTTATATTTTTCATCCGCTTTAGACATTCTTCGGTTCTGGTTCTCTTACGGGCTGCGAGTTGGTACCGTAAGCAGGATTTGATTTTTGTTATTTCTGTGTGTGTGTGCGTGAGGGGGCTACTTTGAACCAAGGACTTACACAGCTACATTCTGCTCCCTCAAACTTCGCCCTGAATGGCCTTTGTCACACGCTGGGGCTTCCCTGGGGCATCCCAGACCCAGTCGCAGCTCGAAAAACAACAACAAAAGAAAACTGTACATTCCACAGGAAGTGTGCATAAAAAGGGGTTGACCTTGGTTTCTACAAATCCGCCAAAATCTTTTTTTTTTTCTGTTCGAAAAAAAAAGCAAATTTTATATTTGTCATTTCAGAAAAAAAAGTTTGTGTGTGTGTGCGGGGGGGGGGGGCGTGGAAAAATAGTAACGTTAAGAAGTAATTGCTATTACTTCAAAAAGTAATCAGATTACTCTTGTGATTACTGCCTAATAAAAGTAATCCAACGATTACAAATTTACTCCAAAAAGTAATCAATTACAAGTAATTTGATTACTTGTAATACGTACGGTACAAGTCTGGTGGGTACATCGTCTACGTCACAAACAGGACGCTAAAATTTGTCTTTTGTTTGATCCAGGTTAGTAAAAAATATGCTCATACGTTCCGCAGTAATAACCCTTTTTTGCTGTTGCTGCTGTGCCCAAGCAGTGTGTGTGTGCAGCTGTTGCTCACTTGGAACGACTTTTGTTGCTTGTTTGTGGCGATGTGGAAGTTAACTCAGGTCCTAAGACTGCGGAAATGTTTCAAAGTATAATGGAAGTACAAACTTCCATTCATAAAGAAATAGAAGATCTTAAAACCCAGCATGACGCGACGGAAACAGTAGTCGCCCAAATTGGCGACCAAGTAAAATAATTCTTTTGATCTTTGCACGGTATTGTTATTGAGAAAAAAAAAATTAAATCTTTGGAAACAGTGATTTCTGGCCTTAGAGAAACTATAAATCAACAGAGCAGAAAAACTGCTGATTTAGAAGACCGGATTCGGCTCGCGAACCTTATTGTCTTTGAGGTAGCTGAAAGACCTAACGAGGACGAGGCGCTATTACGACCCAAAGTCATCGACGACATTTTTAATGTTAAACTAAGTACGTCCTGTGTTTCGCTGCCTCGCATTGATCGCCTTTGAAAGAAATTAAATAACAGAAAAAAGACCCGTTACCCTGTATTTTTAAGATTTCAGTGAAAAGGAGATGGTTCTACGAAATGCATACAAACTGAAGGGATCCAAATTTTGTCTTCAGAATGACTACTCCCAAAGTACCCTTCAAACGCGGAAGTCTTTTTGGGAAAGTGCTAGGGCCGAAAAAAAAGGGGGGGGAAAATGTGCGCTAAATGGGCTATAAATTACGGATTGATGACGAGCTGTGTGTATGGGATAATTCAGTCGATTCGCGTGTAAGGTTTGCTGCCAGTTCAACCCAGCAGCCGCCCGAATGACGGACGCCGGCCCCTGTCACTACAGAAAGATAACTGCGTTTTGTAAACTTCAATGCGAGAAGTATTGTAAATAAGATAGACCTCCTAAACTCGACGCTGTTGAAACTCAATCCGCACGTAGCCGTGATCACTGAAACTTCGCTGAATGACCGCAACGCCACCCGTGGGGGTGGCGTCGCTATTATTGTGAAATCTAACGTTGAAGTTGCTCTTTAGGACCAAATCAGTGATCACGAAAGCCTTTGTTTGAAGTTAAACTGTTGGGATCATATGACGGTTTTTTTTGCTGTATACTGACATCCGTCAGCAGGTATTAATTTTTTGTACAAACTGTAGGGTCATGTTTCACTGTTTCAAAATAACAAACTAATCATCGCTGGGGACTTCCATCTTCCCGATTTAGATTGAGTTGACGCTTCAAATGGCCATTTATGGTCATCCGATATTATTCTTGATATGAGGCTTTCCTTCGACCCTCTACAAATAGTAAAGTTGTTTACCCGTGAAGAGGGTTCTTTACGTTCGGTCTTAGATCTTGTGTTCGTCAGCAACAATTTGCTAGACGTACATGTTGCTATTGAGGATGGTAGCTCAGATCATAAATTGGTGGCCTTTGCTTGCGCAGTGAAGCGATTCGTAGCCCAACCTCGCCAGGTCAAAATTGTGAAAGATTATTCAATGCAAACGACGAAAGCGTTCTGGATTACTTAGAATTTCAGCTCGACATTTTCGTGGGGTTCGACGTTACCTATTTTTGAGATATATATATATCAATCGCTAATTACTGCATAACTGAATTTATTCCAGATAAAATCAATCGGCCAGAAAGGCCAAATCCTTGGGTTAGCAGACATATAATACTCTTGAGACGTCGACTTAAAAATTTTAAGAGAGGGAAATCTCGTGTAGATGTCCGCACTGAAGAAGCACGGGAAAGGCTTGCATCTGAGGTATGCAAAGCTAGAGACTTATTTTTTGAGTACGCTATCCAGTTTTATATGAAATGAACCCCTAATTTTTTTAGATACCTTTCCGATACGAAAAGTTCAATTCAGCAACTTAACAAGATGACGCCTTAGCTGTGAACAATACCGAGATTGCGCAATCTTTCAAGCAGCATTTCCAGTCAGTATTTTCCCAGTTTGATAAAAGAACGGTTTCTACTGATTTTCGTGGTTTTCTAGACGAGGATTTTATATCCATTCAAGGTGTTTTTAACATGCTACTGAATCTAAAACCAAAGCCATCATGTGGTCCTGATAAAATACCAGATGCCTTCCTTATCTGCTATGCTGAGTTATTTTTAAGGTTTTCGATGTCAATAATTAGAAATTTGTTTTCTAACAGTTGCATTCTCCTAGACAGTCGTTCAGAACGTGTAGTCCCAATTTTTAAGAAGGGTGATCGATTGTGTGTTTTATATTATCGTCCTATAGGAAGTATTCACTGGCGGCCATAGCTGTGTGCACGACTGCTGAGCGCGTGCTGATGGCGAGCTTCCACAGTTCTTTTGTAACGTGCATTCCGCACCCTCAAGATAGCCGGTCATGGGAGCTTATTGATATGGGCTCGTTCAGAGCATGCGCTCAAGACATCACCCACAAATATGGCGCCCAGTGAATACTCCCTATATTGCTCACATCTGTCCCATAAAGTAATGGAGCATATCGTTGCAAGTTATATTAACGAAGTTTTGAAAGATCGTAGGATTATCACAGAATTTCAGCCTGGTTCAGGAGGGGGTTATCAACCGTGACTCAGTTGGTAACCGCTATTCACAATGTTAGTTCAATTCCTTACAGGGCAGGGCAGGTTGACGTTGTATTTCTGGATTTCAGTAAGGCGTTCAATAGGGTACCTCATCATAAATTGATTTTTAAACTAGAACCAATCGGCCTTCCTTTAAAACTGGTTCAGTGGATTAGAGCTTACTTGTCCAACCTGACGCAGTACGTTGACATAAATGGTACATACTCAGAGGCCCTACCGGTTGACTCCGAAGTACCGCAGGGAAGCGTTCTCGGTCCAGTTTTGTTTTT